CCAAGACGCCCAAGACGGCCTCCAAGATGCCTCCAACACGGCCAAGACGACCTCCAATACGAACAAGATGGCCGCTAAGACGGCCAAGATGGCCCAAGAGGCCCGCAAAAACGCCCACAGATTGCCCAACGCCTCCAAGGTAGCCCCACGACGGCCCAAGAGGCCCCAAGACTGCCCCATGAGGGCCCCCTAATGGCCCAAGAGGCCTCCAAGACGCCCAAGATGCCTCAAAGACGGCTCTGAAGCGCCCCAAGACGGCCACAAACCGGTTCAGAGAGGCCCCCAAGACGGCTTCCGACGGCGTCAGACGGGCCCGGAACGCCCTGAGACAGCCAGAGAGGCCTTCAAGAAACCCCCAAAGGCGCCCAAGAGGCCCAAGGAGGTCTCCAAGAGGCCCCCCGAAGCTCCCAGGAGGCCCTAACAGTGCCTCAAGAGGCTTCCAAGAGGTATGATCCTGAAGCGCGACATGTGCAACAACTTCACGGATTTAAGGCTTGCCGTGTTCAAAACGTTGTTTCTTGCCTTAGCGCTGCGCAAATTCGTCTGCAACGTTTGTAGCAATGTCAAGTATGGAGAGCTGGTGGTTCAAAATGTGGTTCTCGCCTTGACGCCGCGCAGATTCCTCTTTCAAGTTCGCAGCTTATTCGAAGATGGACGGGGGTTGTCTTCATTTCTCGAGCCTCAGCGCCGCACACATTCGTCAGAAAAGGTTGCAACAGGTTCAGGGTTTCGTACGGAGAAGGCCCCACGAGTGGCTCTCTGGTGCGTTTGCCAGGACACTGCAGTCACATTCATCCGTGGTGTTGTAATGCCACGAATCGTATCCTGGCACGATCTCGGATTACCAGGAGACAACAGCCACGTTGATGCGTGGCGGTGAAATCCCAGGAGCGGTGTTGTGGCACGGATGAGGATTCTCAGACTTTCGTCTTCAAATGAGACACTGCCCGCAACTAAGACAAATTATTGTAGTGACCTGCGCAGAGGGAGTTTGAATCCCACCAGCCCTCTGGGCGTCGGTGGTTTAGGGCGTTTCCTCTTCCACCCCTCCCTCGTCCCCTTCGGGGAGGGGTTTACCCCTCCCCCTACCCTCTCCCCACTGACCTGGACAGGAGGGGCGGGGAGCGGTCAGAGCGTCCAAAACGGCCTCGGCGAGGAAGCCAAAATCATTGATTTTACTATGGTTTGGGCCCCATTTTGGCCTTCTGAGGGGGCAGCGCTAATTAAAGCTCCCCTCTTCTTTGATCGATTTCCTCCACGATGGCCGCAAGAGGCCCCCAGGATGCCCCAAGAGGCCGCAGGATGGCCCCAAGATGGCCCCAAGAGGCCCCCCAAGAGGCCCCCAGGAGGCCCCCAAGAGACCCCCAAGAGGCCCCAAGAGACCCCCCAGAGGCACCCAAGGTGCTCCCAGAGGCCTCGGCGATAATGTCAAACCATTGTTTGCACTAAGGTTTTAGCCACATGTTGGCCTCTTGGGGGGGGGCACTGATTAAGATGACTCCAAGAGCGCCTCGGAGAGCCCAAAATGACCTCCAAGATGGCTCAAGAAATCCCAAGATGTCTCATACTGGCTTCCTCTGTGTGCTGTCCACTTCCCTGATCGAGGCAATCCCACCAGCCCTCTGGGCGTCGGTGGTTTAAGGCGTTTCCTCTTCCACCCCTCCCTCTTTCCCTTCGGGGAGGGGTTTACCCCTCCCCCTACCCCCTCCCCGTGGACCTGGACGGGGGGGACCGCGAGCGGTCAGAGCGTCCAAAACGGCCTCGGCGAGGAAGCCAAAATCATTGATTTTACTAAGATTTTGGCCCCATTTTGGCCTCCTGAGGGGGCAAAGATGGCCCCAAGAAGCGCCCAGGAGGCCCCCCCAAGAGGCCCCCAGGAGGCCCCAAAGAGGATCCCGAACGGCCCACAGAGGCCCCCCCGAGACACCCAAGACGCCGAAAAGCCCCTCAGGACGACCCTCTACTCGCCTGGGCGTCGTTTCTGGACGGGCTGGTGGGGATACGCGAAGCGTCTAGAATTTAGGGTGTATTGTATCATCGTGGATGCGTTTTGGGTTTGCAATGGTCCTCCTCCTCCTCCACCTCCTCCTCCTCCTCCTCCTGCTCCTGCCCCCCTGCGGCGGAGGCGATGACTGCTCTACTGGGTACCGAAACCAGATACTCGGTCCTATACCGCGGGAACACTGTCAAAATCAACTGCGCATTGCGACTAGGAGGCAAACATGCCGGCTCTTTTCGATATTGTATCTGATCCGTGGCACCTCGCCCAGAGCCGTGTCGTTCATCCGCGCCCGTGACACTGGTGCCATGCTCGCTGGCTGAAGCGCGGGGATTGTGCATTCGGTTCAAAAGCGGGGCCATGTGGTCCGTGAATCCAATGGGGCCTTCGTGCCCGCTCGCCCTGGGGTACCAACCCGGTTGCACATGCCGGTCGATTTGGTTGGGGGGATCGTCGGGAAGTGCCTTCGCGGTGACGAGGTGAACCCACCGTCCCCCGCACGAACCATGCCATCTCGTCTGGGCGGCGAGTCACAGGGCGACGAGGCGTTTGCAGATCTCCTGCCCGCTTCGTGTGCTCCATACACTAGGGTGCGAGGCTTCTCCCCTCTGGGAGGCTGGGGGTGATCGCATGTCTCGGGAGAGCACCGTTTCACTTCCTGGATTCCATGACTCCCTGACTCCTCCATACTCCTCTTCGTCCTCCTCGTCCTCCTCGTCCTCCTCGTCCTCCTCCTCCTCCTCCTCCTCCTCCTCCTCCTCCCCTGCTGCAACTCCCACTGAAATGTGCAGCAGAATCCACAACCTCCGAAAACACCGCAAGGGCGCGCGCGCGTGCACGCGCGATGAGACAAACCCATGGCGAACCCCGTAACTCTTGGTGTTCAGACTCTTCCGGAAATACCTGTTGTAATCCGACGGGCCCCTCTGCGGGGCCAGGAAACGGCTTGGGAGTCAAAGGCGGGAAACTGGCACTTGACCCAGCGACCAAGCAATTCAAAGAGGGGGTAATGTCTGCGAGGTCTGTGGCTCAATCAGCCAGATGATGGTGCAGTACAGATAATAGCTGACCAAGAGAAATGGGTGGACAGGGAGAGGGAGGAGGAGAACCTGGCGGCGAAGGGGGCGGAGGGAAGACGAGAGAAGAACGAGGAAATAATAGAGACAGGGGGAAGGGTCAGGGACGATTGACGGAGCAGGGGTGAGGCAGGAAGACGAGGGATGAGGGGCAGGGAGGAAGAGGGTTGCGACGGGCCGCAGCGATCACCTCGACATTCGAAACCACCACACACACACACTCACACCTTAGTCGCAGACTCGGCGATCGCAAGAGTCGGTCGGCCAGAGCAGGGCTACTGCGGGGCCGAATGGCGCACGTAGAGGCGAGGAGAAGCCGAGCGGCGGCCGCGGAGAAGCACCACACACATCTTTCGAGCGTGCGGCCTGGTCCCACACACGATCATCGAATCGACCCTCATCCTCCTCCTCGCCGTCAAGCTCGTCCTTGTGCTCGTCTGCGTGATGCTTCTGCTCCTCCTCATCCGATGGTGCCGAGAGGGGGGCGGCGGCGGTAGAGGCCGAAGGTCTTCGCATAGAACTGGACATGGTCGGTGTGGATGCCAGGCCGCTCGGGGTCGTTTACGTCCTCCCACTCCAATGACGGAGGAGGACGAGGAGGATGAGGATGACGCATGAGAGTGGGAGCCCTGGACGACGTCCTATCCTGCAAGGCGCACGGGAAGAGGAGGGGGAGAAAGAGGAGTCGAGGAGGAAGCCCCCTCCCTCGACTGCAAATGGTCACTTCTGGGAAGGTATGCCTCCGCGTGCACGGCTCGACGGCGCATCTGTGGCGTCCCCCCCCGCCTTGGCCCCCCGATGCGGGACGGACGAGGCCGCCGTGGGCCGCGGAGGCGCCCGCTGCGGGCGAAGCGGCTGCGGCTTTGGGGGGGGGGGCGGCCGGCGTCGGAGTCCGAGGCAGCCGAGAGGCCGACGACGGCACCGCCAAGGAGGAGGAGGAGGAGGAGGAGGAGGAGGAGGAGGAGGAGGAGGAGGAGGAGGAGGAGGAGGAGGAGGAGGAGGAGGAGAGGGGGGCCCCCGGGGGGCAGCGCCGCGAGGATGCGAGCGGGGGAGCCCCCCCTCACCACCGAGGGGCCCCGGCCCGCCCCACCTCTGCGGGAGCGGTGTGGCGTGGCGCCGCGGTGGCCCCCCCCCCACCCCCTGTGGGTGTGTGGTGTGGCGTGGTGCTGTGGTGCCGCGGGAGATGGCAGGGCTGCAGCCTTCGAGCGCACGGGGGCTCGGCCTCCAGGGCAGGTCCAGGGGTCGTCGTCGTTGCTGTCGTCGTCGTCCTCGTTGTCGTCGTCCTCGTACTCGTACTCGTACTCGTGCTCATCCTCATCCTCATCCTCATCCTCATTCTCGTCGTCGTCCTCGTTGTTCTCGTCGTCGTCGCCGTCGTTGTCGTCGTCGACCGTCGTCCCCTCCGTCCCTTCTGGGGGGGGGAGAGGCAAGGGGCCCGCAGAACCCTACGACCCATCCCATCTGCGAGGTGGCGGGGGCCCTGGGGTCCCAGGCCCAGGATCCTGTACAAATCCCAGCCTCGAACCTCGGGACCCAGATTAATGTGGACGTGGCCTCCCAGCATTCCGGGCGCCGACATCTGCCAAGAGCTGGGCCCAGCCTGGGCATGCGAAGGCATGGTGGTCTACGGCAGGCTCGGGTCGTGGCGACTTGTGCGCTGGCTTCTGAAATCGCTTGAATCCAACACACGTGTCGTTCGATGTCGGTCGACTCAGGGCCGTTGGCGGCGTTCATTCTCGAACGCCCGCGCCAGGGTCGCCGCTGCATGGACACGACACGAACCTGCAGTGCGTTCTCCCTCTCCCAGTTGCAGCCCCGCTCCTTGCGAAAGGCATGAACCAGGAGGTACAGCTCATAGCGAAGGCTCAATAGCGCCCAATCCTCCCAAGTGAAACCCTCAAACAATGGCTTGCCCTTGCCGGTGTCTAGGATGTTCTCCACCCCGAAGACGTCCAACTCATCATCCTCTGCACAAGTGAGAAATGCCAATGCCAATCTCCCTGGAGACGTGAAGCAGTGTGAGGATGTAGCATCATTCAGCTTCTGGCGACGCTCGACCACGCGCACTCCTCCTCCTCCTCCTCCTGCTCCACCTCCTCCTCCTGCTCCACCTCCTCCTCCACCCCCCCCTCGCTACCCGGCGGCTCGTGGCCTGGCTATGTTTGCATAGCCATGGCACCCACGTGCCCCATAACACCTCAATGGCGGAGACTAGCATGCGTGGCGTGAAGCCATGATGCACTTATGGTGGAGCGAACCATTGGAGCATAAGGCACGCAGCCCTAGTCAACTGCGCATTCACTGCGCAAGGTAACCATGATGTGCGACGGTCGGGAAGTCGACTAGTGGAGCGCGCAGGGTCGAATACACAACAAGAAACAGGTGGTCGGTCGTGCATAAACTGGATACTGGACGGAGCGGCCTGGATATATCAGGACGGTGCAACACATACACACACACACTTTGTAACAAATTGTGTCTACGCGCTGTGCCGAGGAAGTCATCATCCTTCTCCTCGTCTGCCTCCCCCCTGGACAACCTCGTGGCGAGAAAAATTGGCGCCGTGCATTGCGTGCCGATGTGAAAACTCTCTCGGAGGCATCAACACGAAACTCCTCGCCGTCGTTCTCCGGCTCGTCCGCGGCTTTCTTCTCCTCCTTCTCCTCGGCAGGTTCATCCTTTTTCTCGGCCTCCTTCGCCTCTTCGCCCTCCTTCGCCTCGCCCTCCTTGGCCTCCGCGTCCTTCATCTCAGCGTCCTTCTTCTCCTCCTCCTTCTTCTCTGCGGCGGCCTTCTCTTCGAGGATTTTCCGCCTCTTCGCCTGGGATGGGGGACTGGAAGAGGGAGGGGGGCGGGAGCAGACATTGGGAGGCGAGCGGAATGAGAAACAAAAAAAACGGAAGGAAACTGTGGGGACGAAGGAGAAAGGAGGAGAACGACGGAAAAGGGAGGGAAAAGGGTAAAACGGGACGCGAAGAGAAGTCATATCACATATAGTATGGCCAATCGCATGGACGTTGGAACAAACGAGGCTCGAGCGGCGGCATTTTTATTTGATGAGTCCAGAACCTGATAGTGTATATCCCATGTGACTAATAGTTCCAGAGAAACGCATGCAACTGTTCGGAACAACCATGTCTTATAGATTTACGAAGCAACGGCAATATGTTTCATATGTATGCTTCGCCGTGAGCTGTGCACCCGCTCTTCTTCGCGCTCGCGCTGCTCTCCAAACATGCAATTCGCGTTTGCGCGCCCTCGACCCGACTTGAGGGGGAACTGCAAAGAGGACAGCGCACACAACAAATGACGAGCGTCACACAGATGAGATCGACGGCGCCGACGGCGACGGCATCGACAACGACGACGAAGACGACGAAGACGACGACGACGATGCCACCGGTGACGGCGCGGACGGGGATCGCGCCACATCGTCGATGCATCGGCGACATTAGGATGGAGAAGACCAGGCTCCAGATCATGCCGCATCGCCGCCGCGTGGGCGATGCGGCGCCGATGCTCCGACCCCATCTGCTCTGGCCCGATTCTCCGACGTGCGACGATGTGACTTCTTCCGTCCACGACCCCAGGAGGCCCCGACCCTTGCACTGGGGACGGTGCCTCGTCCTGGGCACAGTTCTGATGGCCCCGAGGCCGATCTTTGACTGCCCCGATGTTCCATCCAAGATCAATAGGTTGACAACCCCAGGGCCCGAGAACGGGCCCCAGAGGTCGCAACGAAGGAAATCGGCAGGGATGACCCCCCCCCACACACACACACACACATATACACACACATACATACATACATACATACATACATACATACATACATACATACATACATACATACATACATACATACATACATACATACACACATACACACATACATACATACATACATACATACATACACACACATACATACATACATACATACATACATACATACATACATACATACACACACACCACGCACACGCATTCACTCGTCGGAGATTTTGGCACGCACCCTGGCCCCATTTGGGAGGCCTGGGTTCGAGCCGGAGTGGTTGCAGCTGGGGAAGGGGAGGAACAGGAGGAAGATGGACGAGCACCAGCAGCGGGATGAGGTGGAGGAGGATGAAGGGAGAGGAGGAGAAGGGAGACGAGGAGGAGGAGGATGAGGAGGGGGAGGGGGAGAAGGGAACGAGGAGGAGAAGGAGGAGGAAGAGAAGGGGAGGAGGAGGAGGAGGATGAGGAGGAGGAGGAGGAAGAAGGAGGAGGAAGGATATTCTAGGAGGAGCAGGAGGGCGAGGAGCCGCAGTGCCTCCCTCTCGTTCTTCTTAGCGAGCTCGAACTCGGTCTTCTTGGCGTGCCACTGCTGGAGCTGCTGCTGCCAGGAGCTCCTCCCCTCCCCTCGCCCAGGCAGGCGGCCGTCAACTGAGAACCTGAAAACCATGTGTTCCCCCCAACTTTCTCCTGATCCCACTCCTCCTCCTCCTCCTCCTCCTCCTCCTCCTCCTCCTCCCCCTCCTCCTCCTCGTCCTCCTCGTCCTCCTCGTCCTCCTCCTCCTCGTCCTCCTTTCCTCCTCCTTCTCCTCCTCCTCCTCCTCCTCCCCCTCTTCCCCGAATGCCTCGGCACCCACGGTTTCGAGGGCGCTTCATGGAGCCCAGCGCCAGCGCGAAGCCACCACAAGGCCACAGACGCGAGCCCCCGAGTGGCCCAGAGAGGCCCAGGGCCACCGACGGGTCACGAAAAGCGCCGCCCCGGGCAGCCCGGAGAGGCTCGCCCGGCTCGCCTCGCCGAAGCCGCTGCGTCCTCCGTCCCTCAGAGGACGGAGGCTTCCGTTTTGAAGTCGGGTTCGACCTCACAAGGCCTGAGAGAAATGCGTGCTGTACTTCGATTCGAGAAGAACGCCTGCTCCTGGAGATCGGATGCGACGTCACAAAGCGCCCTGGAGACCTGCGCGCTTTGTGAGACCGATCTCAACCTCGAACGACGCAATCGACCGGAGATCACTGCGCTGCTTGTTTCTGTGAAGTTGGATGGCCCCTTCCCTGCTCTCCTCCTCCTCGTGCTCTTCCTGCACCTGCCCATTCTGCCCTTCCTCAACCCAGGCTGCTCCAGGCTGCTGCTCCTGGTTCTGCTCCTGCCAATGCTCCTCCTCGTCCACTTCCTCCTTTCTTTCTTGCGCAACCGCTGAGCGCGCTCCGCAACCGTGGCGTCCTCCTCCTCCTCCTCCTCCTCCTCCTCCGCCTCCTTCTCCTCCTCCTCCCTTCCGTCACACTACTCTTGATCCTATTCCTGTATCTCCTGCTGCCGCTGCCGCTTCTCGTCTGGTCCCTTACGAACCGTAGGAGACGACGAAGGGGGCCACCGGTCATAAGCGCGCAATGAGGACGAGACAAACCAGAAGAGGGCCATAATCGTCTGACATAAAAGACGACACAGACTGAGGGTAACGAGTGCTGCGCTCTGACTCTGGATGGGGCGCATACGAGTTCGAATGTATTCGAAGATGCTCTTATTTCAAGCATTGCCGCTGTCGGTTGCACCGTTGATGGCACCGTTCTTGAACCACGACATCAATAAAGAAAGCATGATGTTGCGTTCAGCATAAGTCCACAGCCACTGATGGTATCAACTCCATCGACCACGCTTCTCTGCCCATCAAATGTTGAGCCAACCCTCGTCGTAACTGTGCACTGCCTACCCATATTGGCTCGCCGCATGCCCTCTATTCGCGCAAAGCCTACCCCATCAGTCTCAACTTACTCCCCCCTTAGACCCAGTCGGATTCGACACCACCACCCTCTTCACACCTGCGTTTCAACCCTGCCCGCCCTCCCGTCGTCGTCACACCTCTCCCCTCTTTCTCCGTCTACTCCTCGTTCCCTTTATCCGTCCCTCCTATTCGAGCCTCCCTCATCGCACTCCTCCTCCTCCCCCTCCCCCTCCTCCTCCTCCTCCTCCTCCTCCTCCTCCTCCTCCTCCTCCTCCTCCTCCTCCTCCCCGTCACCCTCGCCACTCTCCTCCTGCTCCTCCTCGTCCTCATCTTCCTTCCTCGCGGCGCAGGTTTATGAGGCCAGCCAGGCCGCCGAGCCCATGCCCCAGTAAGCGGGCCCCCGTTCCCCTGGCCATCGTCCAGAACCAGTTGAGGTGGAGGAACAAATTCTCCTCCTCCTCCTCCTCCTCCTCCTCCTTCTCCTCCTCCTCCTCCTCCTCCTCCTCCTCCTCCTCCCCAAACACTCGATTTGAATACTAACTCCATCTCTTCCCACCGGCTACATCTTGACAGCGTCCCACCCTTTCCCGTGCATGCGTCAAACGCACGGTTTCGCAAGGCTGAGTGCTTCCATATGTTGCGTGTTGTTACACTGGCGTTCCAGCTGCACCGGTAGCCTCATTTCAGGATCGGCGCTTTGCCCCCGTCGTTCAGACTGGCATTATTGCCCCAACGAGGGGCATGCGTCTGGATCCGAGTGCCTCCTCGTGGTTGTCTTCCCCTTCCTTTCCCCTCACCCGCCTTCAGCTGGTCCTCCTGCTCCTCCCGCTCCTTCTGCTCCCACTGTTGGTATGTTGTCGCCCTTCCGCATCCTCCTCATCCTCATCATTATTCTGCCTATCCTCTTGCTGTTCCGTCGCCTGCTCCTCCTCCCCCTCCTCCTCCTCCTCCTCCTCCTCCTCCTCCTCTTTCTCTTCTTCCTCCTCCTCCTCCTCCTCCTCCTCCTCCTCCTCTTCCTCCTCCTCCTCTTCTCCCTCCTCCTCCTCCTCCTCCTCCTCCTCCTCCTCCGCCTGCAATGTGCACTCCACATTGCGCATGGCACGATGGTGCCCCCTGGGGGTGCCCAGGTCCGCTGTGACACCCGTCGGCGGATGGAGGACGCATCTGAGCATCGTTCCTCCGATCCCGATCCCCAGCGGCGTGGCCTGGGCCCCACTGGCCGACCTACCCCCCTGGATGGGAATGTGGGCCGTTCCCTTCGGGTTTCGAGGGGTTCATCCCCAACTGGGGCGGCAATTTGGTGGGGGCCTCGAAGGGGATGGGGATGGGGATGGGGATCGGATCCGCCGGCCCCCCTGTGGGGCCACCAGGCCGTAGGCCTAAGGTTCGCAGCTTCCTGTACCAGTTGCAGCTTCCAGTTTCCGCTGTTACAATTCTGCTTCTTGTTGCTGACTCTTTCTTGTCACAATTCTGCTGCTTGCTGCTTACTGTTCCTTGTTGATGGACCGCGCAAATGGGGGAGGCCCAAAACGGATATTTTCACCACGCCCCGAGCGTGTGCTCTGAATTGCTGGGGTGGGTAAAAATTAACACCCCTCACGCAGATCGGCGGGGACAGGGTGAAAAAACATAAGGGATTTGCCAAATGTCTGAAATTCGGTGGCACCCCTCACGCAGATCGGCGGGGACAGGGTGCAAAAACACATGGGATTTGCCACATTTCTGAAATTCGGTGGCACCCCTCACGCAGATCGGCGGGGTCAGGATGCAAAAATAAATGGGATTTGCCACATTTCTAGAATTCGCTGGCACCCCTCACGCAGATCGGCGGGGTCAGGGTGCAAAAACCCATGGGATTTGCGACGTTTCTGAAATTCGCTGGCACCCCTCACGCAGATCGGCAGTGTCAGGATGCAACAACAAAATAGGATTTGCCACAGTTCGGAAATTCGGCGGCCCCCCTCATGCAGATCGGCGGGATCAGGGTCCAAAAACTCAAGGGATTTGCTACATTTCTGAAATTTGCCGGCTCCCCTCACGCAGATCGGCGGGGTCAGGGTCCAAAAACACGAGGGATTTGCAACATTTCTGAAATCTGGTGGCACCCGCGACGCAGATCCGTAGGGTCAGGGTCGAAAAACAAACAGGTCCCGACACTGCTTCACGGCGGCGCCCAGACCTCATGATTTGGCTTTTGCATCTCCCATGATCCGAGACAGGGGGCCGGCGGCATGGGGCGAAGCCCCTACGGATAATCGATGCTGAACATCAGCGCAGTGGGACGGCATGTGCGGGAGGGGCAGAATGCCAGGTGTGGCGCGAGCGCGCCGAGGAACTCTTCTTCGGGGTCCATCAGAATTCTGAGAATTCCGTCGGAGCCACGGGGACTCCCCAGGAATCAACAAGAATCCTCGAGAATCCCCAGACCGTAGGAATCTTCAAGAATCCTCGAGTCGTCGTCTCCGTCGGTCGTCGCCTCCGTCGTCCCCTTTCCCTGCAGCTTCCTTCTCAAGCTCGTGAGCGAGAGGAAAATCGAGCAGTGTCGTAATCGAGTCGAAGGGAAGCCCCTTCCCTTTGATCCCTTCCCTAGGGGGGGGAGGGGTCCCGGGGGGGGTGGAGGGGGGGGTCCCGGGGAGGGTCCCGGGGGGGGGTCCCGAGGGGGGTCCTGGGGGGGGGTCCCGGGGGGGTCCCGGGAGGGGTCCCGGGGGAGGTCCCCGGGGGGGTCCCTGGGGGGGTGGGGGGGCAAATTAGTTTTTCCTCGGGCGGCCTAGAAACCTCGAAAACGCTCCAAATGAGGTCCGAATGCCCCAGATGGCCCCCGAAACGGCCCACGAGGGCCCCGAGTCGCCCAAAGATCGGCCGAAAACGCCCAAGATAGCCCCAAGACCGTCCAAGAAGCCTCCAAGACGTCCCAGGCCCCCCCCCTCCAAGAGACCCCCAGGAAGCCCCAAGAGGCCCCCACGAGGCTTCCAAGCGGCCCCTAAGAGCTTCCCAAGAGGCCCACAAACTACTCCCAAGAGGCCCCCAAGAGCGCTCGTCGTCGTCGTCGTCGTCGTCGTCGTCGTCGTCGTCGTCGTCGTCGTCGTCGTCGTCGCCATTCAGGGTCGGCGGCACCGGCCGTAAGGCCTTCGCAATCTTCAAGAATCCTCCGAAGCCCCAGGAATCCCTAGGAATCCTCATGAATCCGGGGGAATCCTGCAGGAACCCGACTGATTGTTTAAGGCATCTCTCAAGAAACTTTAGAAATCCCGCAAGATTTCCCAGGCATCTCTCAGGAATTCATCGGGATCCTTAGGAATCGATGGGGATCTGCAAGCCCACGATTATCTGCACACGCGACGCGACGCGGCGGGGGGGGAGGGGGAATGGACAAGGCCGCAGAGTGGATTTGCGTCAACAACAACAACAGCAACAGCAACAACAATCATTTTAAGACTGTTGGCTCTTACTGGCGCGCGTCTCTTGCATTCCGAAAACCCCAACCCTCGATACCCGCCCATTCCGTCTTCGATTGCACCCCCTTTCGGGGGGAATGTCTTCTTTGTCGGCCACTGACTGAAGTGCGAAAACTCTCGAGCAAGAGCGCCGTTCCTGAATTCGGGGGCCTGACGGGCCAGGGGCTGTCGGAATACCTATTTTGAAATGTCGAACGGGAACCCTTGTCGCCGTGTCTGGGCCTC